TATTCATGTTCCTGCATATACGGCCCGACATTTGGCCCGCAATTTGGATACAAAATAATACGCATATGTAAATATGGCGGACAAAAGGCAGAAATCAGTCGGAGCAGAATTCTGTATGTAAATTATCAAAGGCAAATTAAAGCTCATTACTGTATGTCGCAGAAATACAGTTATTGTAACTAAAGTGCCTTGTCTTAAAGGACGTTATGTCTTATGAAGCAATGTATTTCATTAAAAAACACCAACTCTCATAATGTACAAAATGCCATTTCAGACCCCCGGACTTTTGCAAAGGTGTCATCCACATCCCCAATTTCACTCTTAATTTCTCTGCAAAGTTGCGAGGTCTGGATATACCGTGCTAAATTTACCAACTATATGGCAAAACCATAACCTTTATTTTACTATTGAATGGCAATTCAAAGAACTTTCTACTGCAATGATTTAGAATTTCCACTTCAGTGAGATTTTACACTGAGTACATATGCATGTCGTTCGAAACATGTTCGAAACAGCTTCGAAATTATCGTTTTCCCTTTTAGAATTACTCAAAATTTCCTTCAAGCTTCCATTAAAGAATTTTCCTTTATAATTATCAAAGGAAAACCGGTATACCGATAATATCGGTATAATTTTTTTCGGTATAACGATACCGGAAATTTCTCATACCGAACATTCCTACTGGGAACAATAGTAATAGTTTGAATATCATGCTGTGCAGCAAATAATTGCAGTTTGCTGGCAAATATTGCAAGAACTGTGGACCATATGGTCAAATTAAATTACTTAAAACTCAGAATTTTACCCAACCTTGGTCCCAGGCTCCTTCTCCAGCAAGGTAGGAGAGGAAAGAGCCTGGGAAGGAGGTTAAATTTTACCTTTTCATTCTTTTTTCCTGACTGTTCTTTAGACATAATGTTTAATGATTCATGAAGTGCTTTGACTAATTCCGCTGGATTTTTCTTGCCTGAGCTAAACAATGGCATCTTTCCTGAAGAAATAAGGACTTTGTTAACTCATTTGCCATTCAATTCCCACTCTCATGCTAGCTTGCAGGCAATCCCAGACATTGCCAAAAAAATCATGTAAGCACACTATGCAACAATGAATGAAAAACATGCCACCCAAAATACTTCCATCAATTATTTCCTGGAAAAGCACAAGGCAAGCTTTTCATCATTATATCTGGGAATGCCAACAGATATAGACTAATGCAAGCAATGTAGCATGTTTAATGGGGGGCAGAAGTAAAGAGCCTGTCTTCATTGCAAGCTAGTTGTAGTGCCAGGTGAGTTTACCATCAAAGAGAATGTGTATGTGTTCAGTTCATATAATTGACATTCATAATCTGATTGACAAATAAAATCATCTACTGTTTAGCCTAAATATTTTCCACTTTGAAGTGAATGTGTTTTTGTGAAGCTAGGGAAAAATTTAGTAATATGATTTGTTAGCTGATCAACAAAATTTGATGTGAAAAGTAGGCGACAGTATTTTTGAAAATGCTTGCATTTCTCCATTTGTGCCTGGCCCAGTACATACCTCCTTCAAGGACTGCAAGGGAAAATCTACTTTTGATAAATTTAATATAGGGATGTTTGAAGAGGGAGAGGGGTTAACTTTCCATTTGTTGCATTATCTGGAATGTCTCAATTAATAAACTGTACATGTTATGTTTCTATCCAATGTCACCTTATTATACAACACTATATATTGTATCTTTTAACTGAGATCAAGGAAAATATTGGGTACACAGTACAATATTTTACACTCATGTAAGAAGGAGTGGTCTCACAAAGCAAGTTGTAAAACCATGAATACAAAACAAAACACATAATTATATATGGAGTTATATAATCAACATTTTTATAAGAGGGTCAAATATGCCAATGTGCACCCAGTCTTTTGCCTGACCAAATCATACTGATAAATTATGAACATCAAGTTTGATCGAGACAGCACTTTCCTGGTTGGAAATGTTTAGGCATTATTTATGTCACCAGTTCAGGTGTGAAATCAACAACAACAATCTTTAATAGTGTTTTGTGATTTCAAGCAACAAATGTTACCATCATTAAATGCTCAATTTTGTATGCTTGACATCTGTGTTTACAAAAACATTGCTTGCCTAAGCTCTGTAATGCCCACTGCTTTAATAAGCTGTCTTGCTTGTCTATTATGGTAATTCATTTTATTGACATTTAATAACAGCAGAGTTTAACATTATCATGTTGTGGCTTTTAAGAATACTTTTATGGCTCTATAAAATACATAAAGATGAGTAAAACGTTTATTTTGGCAGAATATTATAAGAAATAATATTATAATAAAATATAAGCTCTCAAGGAAAACAAACTATCAAGATAACATGTCAAGATACAAATCATACAATAATTTCTAATTATAAACACAAAATAAAAGCTGTCCTCAAAATGTAAATAAAAGCTATACTGTATTTTGTTGTATGAGATAGATAGCAATTCATTAGAAGTGAGACTAAAAGCAGTATACTAAACAAAAGTTATTGTATATACAACCTACCTTTTTTATGATATCACAAGCTTAATACTCTTAAAACCTTGTTGAATGATGTCTGTTGAGGGCACTGTTGAGGGTCCCAACGACTCCACACTAATTCAATATTGTACCAGCTAAAATACAAGTTTCCAGCTAAAATATAGGCCGGAAGCGGCTACTGCAAACGAAAGGCAATGAACGGAACACTTTATTGCCATAAATGACACTTTTCGAAAGTAAAAATGTACAAATTTCTATCAAACGAAAATCATCATAGTGAAATAAGCATACATAGAGCGGCAGAGCCTGGGGAGAGGAACGCCTCGCGTGGGAACCAAAATCTATTTTTGGAAATTTATACAATGCACAAATACGTGCTATTTGCACAATTACTGGAGCGTATTATGCATATTACCTCGCATTACATATACACTTGACTTATTGATTCTTATGCAATGTTTTTAAGTCTCTAGTAAGGTTGAATCCTTACCACCTACGTTTTTTAAAAATTTCTGTTTGTTTTCAACAACAAATTAGACTGCGAGTGAGTCCCTCCTTTCTGTATCCATGTATGGTTCGCTTCAATCTCGTACCCAGATCCATCGTTAACGATGGCTCTGGGTACGAGATTGGGTCGCTTCAGCAGAAGATAACCTTGCTTGATCGAAGGAAATGTGCTGTCACTGGGCATAAACGGAGCATTTAGAGGAGCATTTAGAGACCTTACTTGAAAACCACAGCAGTTTATTGTCGCCAGTAGTATCTAGGGCCGCCGAGAGGTTAGCGGGGGCCCGGGGCAAATTTTTTTTCGGGGCCCCCATCTAAAAAATTTTTCCGGACAGCAACCTCCCCCCCCGTCGCCAAAAAAAATTCGGTCAGTGTACCATTTTAGGGGTAAAAAAATTTTCTGGACAAGTACGTTGCAATTGCTTTCCAGGGACTTTATCTCATTTTTTTATGCCAAATTTCGGTACTTAGCCCAAAAAACAGTTATCTTGTCCTTTGCGCGGAAATATTTAACACACAAAAGACTGGGGCCCAACAAAAAATTTTCAGGGGCCCCCAGCACCT